CGGGCGGGAATGCAAGTCCGACAGATTGGGAGCGCTGGGAAGCCGGCAGCCCATCCCTCGGGAAGAGTGGTCAGCCACGGAGGAACCTAGAGAGTCCAAACAACCCTGCTACCTCAACACATAATCATTTGCCAGTTCTAACTTTCGGGGCTGGTTTGATGCCAGGCTCTACAGGGAAGCCTTAAGAAAGCAGAGGAGTCAATTCTGTACTGGGCACCTACAGATCACATCCTTCAATATGTAGTCAACTCCAGACTCTGTTCTCAGCAACATCCCTCAAGCTTCCATCCTGAGTTAGGCTTTGACCTATGGGGGCCGAGACTCCAGAGGCACGAAATGAGAGGGGTTGTCACTGCTTGAGTTCATTTACTGGGACAGTTATCAGTGCTGTGTGGACCAGCAATAGCAAGGAGGACTGAGAAGAATATGGGAGTGGGAAGAAAGAGGAATCAGGACTCACAAACCTCACTGAACAGTGACCTCTAAAACCCAAGACAGAGTTTGTGTGATGTGCAATCCACACACACCATTTAAACATGTTAATTTCATATCACACACACTATAGGGAGAGCAACACGTGGGGAGGGAGAGGAGGAGGAGGAGGAAGCCAATCAGTAAAAAGTCTCTTCTCATCAAAAAGCATTTCCTGGCCAAGTACTAGAGAAGGACAATCTGTGCCAAATGACTCCTGGAGAGCACCTTTCTGAAGTGCCAGGCCCTTTATTCATGGGTGAGAGACAAAGAAGAGGAAGATTCACACAATATGGACATACCAGGTATGGGGATCCTGCTTCTTATTTCTGCTCCAGGTGGGGAGAAGAACAGTGTCTGGCCAGGCTGATCTGGAATTGTTCCAACTTTAAGGGGAGACACAACAAAAGGTTTACAGAGTATTAAGTTTTCCCAGAGGCAACATCTAGATTGCAGATTTTCTTTTGAAAGAGGTTTTTCCAAAATTTGGCACATCTACATGGTGCCAAATTTTGGAAAAACCTGCCCTTTCGACACATCCTTTATACCTCGTAAAATGAGGCTTAGAGGGATGGTGAAATAGTGCGTCCGCTTTTCCGAATTTTTTTTTTCAGAAAAGTGGACGTATTCTGTGGCATTGCAGAGGTATCCCTGAAAAACGCTGCAGTCTAGACATAGCCAGAGTGATGCAAACATACGAGATAACTAAGTCCCTCTGAAGATGCCTTCTACTTTCTTGGTACAGAATAAAAGAATGAAAAAGTTCTAGGGGGAAGTGTGAGAAAGGAATTTGTGAGTTTTGGGAAGTGTGAGCAGAAGCTACTCACAACGGACTGGAGTGAAATTAGAGAAATCAAATAGGAAGAAATAAACAAATCCCATAAAGATGGGATTGGAGACTTCAGAGATGGAAATAATCTAGTAAAATCAGAGACAGCCACTGTATGTCGTTCTCCATATCACAACATGCACAGGAAAGCACTCATCCTATCCCCAAATGCCCTGATCTTTCATTGCCTTGTCTGTCTGGGTCAAGCTATCTGATAATGAGAAGGCTAACTCTGGGGATTCCATTGTGCTTGCCAAAATACTGGCCTCACTGAGGTCAGCAAGAGTTTTGTCATTGACTTGAAAGAGACATGAATGTCACTCCCCTGTTAATCAGTAATAACACTAAACACCAGCACAAAGGAATGTATACATTACTGGGAAGAGGACAAATAATATTCTGCTCTCTGAGGTAAAAGTCATTTTAACTGAAATCAGCAGTGGAAAAGATCCTGGATTCCCAAGACACACAGAACACGCAACTATGGCCAGATTTTCTAAAGAGCTCCAGAGCCGATAAGTGTCCCCGGGGACAAGGTGGAATGAATCCCTCCCTCCTGCTCTCGCTCCCTAGCTGCTTCAAGACAACAGACTGAAGAAGGATTCAGTGCATCAGCTGAACATCAGTTCCTTTCATAAGCAGGGCCCTGAACGAAGATTCACTATTTGCGTCACCACAGGAAAGGCTAATTTGCAGGACCTGTGAAAGTAGTTGCAACCTTTCATTCCATACTTGTCTGGTTTGCTTTCACGTGCAACATGGAGATCCTGATTTTTTTCACAGGGCCTTTCTCCAGAAGTCTACAAGGTGTTTTACAAGTACCAATCACACCTCACATCTCATACAGCAGACTGCTATTTTCCCAAGATTACAGATTTGAAAACAGAGGTGCACCCACATGTACCCTGTCCCTGCATGTAACTGTTAGGTCATCTTCCTTTTCTAGAGGAACAGTGTGCTTGATCTTGCAATGGTAGCAACATGCCAGACTCCGATGGTGGGACCTTACCTTGTGGGGATGGTGTGTAAGGCTTAGCACCGCCAAAGGAGAGCCTTCTGGGGGAGGTTATAGCTCTGTGCTCTCCAGACAAAGGAGGGGAAGCACCAATTTTAGCAAAAGCAAGAGGGCTTGTACTGCTTGATCTTCGTATTTTGACAGACCTTATTGGAAACAGCAAGAATGCACAGGTTACTGAAAACACCACTAAAGAAGGGAAAGTAACACAGCATTGCCAGTCCTTTGAGTGCACCCAGCTACTTTCCACCAAGTCAAATCTTCATTAGCAATTTATTCTTTGTATTGCCACACAGCCTAGACACCGGTGGGCAATAACTGTTCTGCATGCCAGATGTGGTTTGCCAGTGTTAGCCCTTGGTCGGCCATTGGTGCTTTATTTACCTGCACCTCCACAGGTATGGCTGCTTGAAGCTCCTGTTGGCTGTGGATCACTGAGCTGTGGGAACTGGTGTCTCAGTCCATGCTGCTTCTCTCAGCTACCATTGGCTAGGAACAGTGATCCACCGCTAAGAAGAGCTTCAAGCAGCCATACCTGAGAAGGCACAGGTAAATAAAGCACAGCAACCCACCAGTGACTAACCCTGGCCAACTGGCTCCAGCTTATTGCCCACCCCAATCTAGGATCAGGCCCCCACTGTGCTACGTGCCATACAAGCATAGAACAAGGATCTTACAATGCAAGAAGAAGCTTAGCTATAAAAATAAAATCTGGGCATAGTCATCATTTTTAGTCTCTCTCTCTCTCTTGTTTTAATGACGTGATCAAAAATACCCAGTGGTTTGTTAGCTTAGTCATTGCCTATTGGTACTGGGCTGTACACACAATGGTTACAGTAGTCTTTTAATTGGATAGCTCCATAGGCATGCATGGCATTGTACAATAGGTAAGCTGAGCCAAATGAGTTACTGCCTCAAAGAGCTTTGAGTCAAGGCAGGAATGGGTACAAAGCAACATTGTCATTCCAATTGTAATGGTCACACAGTAGTCTAAGTGCTACAGAGAGGAATGTGTGTTTTTAGGCTCATATTTTCAAAATAGAATCCGAGCTATTAACTCCCTTAAGTTTCTTTGAAAAACCTCATCCTTAAAGAGCAAAAATTACACTTATCTGTACAGAAAAAACACATGAATCTACCTGAAGTATTGCCCATATCCTACAAACAACAGACGGGGAAACAGAATACAGTGAATCCAGCAACATTTTGATCCTTTGAAGAGACAGGAATACCACTTTTGGTATTTCACATTATTTTTTCTTTTCTGGAAAAATATATTTTTTTGCACACTCACACACCCTCTCCTGTTCCCTCTCCCAAGAACAGAATGAATTTTTACCATGGCAGCTGGTTGGGCAGGACACTCAGACACCTCAAACACAAAAAAGCATCTTTTCTCACCATGAATTCCTATTTACTTTCTCAGTCAACTCTTGCAAAGATTTTCATTTTTAATCAATCTTTTTTTTTTAAATGTCATGGTTGCAACCCACAGGGGATTTGAGGAATTTGAAAGAACTACTTTACTTAATGCATGATACTACCAGGAATATACACTCTACTTTATAAGATGAAGGTACAGATACACAATCTATTATGTAATCTGATGGCATAAAGATTCGATTGTTGAGAATATATACTTGAGTCTTGACTGATAAAGCCAAGAGGAAGCTATGCAGGTTGTATCAAATAAATGCCATTACATTCTTTAAGAAATGCCATTATATATTTTATTATGCCACATGCTTTACAGGAAAGATGCTTTAAGTGGAGCAAGATTTAAAATATGTATTGGTACTTTCCTGGCTTTTAAACTGCCCATAAAATACTCTAAAATAGTTTTTCTGTAAGTCCTGATATTCCAAATTTATAGACTTAGGATAGGAATGGTTAACTGGTTAATCAGTAAGCCTCACCTCTTAATGGGTGAGTCTTACTGATTCTGATTAACTGGTCTGCTCCAGCCCTGCAGGACCTGTGCAGGCAGGAGCACTTTAGCCAGCCAGTTGGTGGGGGAGACTACTCCAGCTTGCCTGTTCCCCATTTAATCAGTCAACTGGTTTAAACATTACATTTAACCAGTTATCCAAGTAAATCAGATTTTACATCCTTAATCTAGGATCTTTCAACTGACCTGGACTTGAAATAAAATTATGCACTGCACCCACCTCTCAAAAATTATATAAAAATTATACATTCACCAAAGAGCAGCCCAGCATGGAGAAAAATTCCCAGACTCCTTATTGGGATACATTGAAGGTGTATAGTCCAGATAGATTTTTAGATATCAGATTTCAAGATTATCATTGGTTCAGGACTGAACATACTCTACCCTGACCCTGTTCCAGCATGAATTTAAAGGGGATAGTCTACATTTGGACCATGAAAAGGAAACAGTTTAAAAATGACAGCTGCTTGAAGTTGCTCAGAGACCTGGAAGCACTCAAGAGATGGAATTAGCAAACAGAGAACAGATACATGCAAATTAACTCATTGCTATCACTACCACATCGAGTCTCTACTCAAATAAACAGCAAATGATCTTATTAACTGATTCAACTTTTAGTCTGTTTAAATCACATGGTCCTAGGGCATTTGGTAAAATGGTCAAATTTGGCCCGCCTAGATACCTGGCAGTCAATTTTCACGGACATCTGTGAGAATTCTGAGCAAGTAACAGAGTGAAATTTGGGTCTGAAACTTTAAGATTAAGACATATGATCAAATGACTGATAAGGAAGACCAGCCATTAGGGTCACTGTAAGTATGATAGGTAACTAGAATCCCAATTACAGCTTTTATTTTGTTGAACTTTTCCTTCTGTCTTTGGAGGATGTATGATGCCCCTACTTGCATGGGGAAAGAAACAAATTTGTCGAGCACCAGGCCATCCGAAAGACAAAAGATGCTGCTCTGCATGAAGTTTCTTAGATGTTCTTCACTGTACCCATGCTCAAGTAGGCATCCTAATATGATACTTTCATCCCAGATTGGTAGACTGTGGTTTTTGAATCTGAACCAGCAATTCCAAGCCTGATATCTGTCACAGGAGTGCCATGAGAGGGATGCTTTTTATATCTGCAAATTTTCCAGATCCTTGACTTTGTGGACAAGGATTATGATACCTGATGGTAAATTATTTTCTCATGATTAACTCTCAACAGTTTGACCAAGGTCTGCTCCAGAAATATGGGACATCTAAAGGTGTTTGTCCAGAAGGTAAAATTTGTTGGCTTCTATTTAGGTTAGACTGACTTATAACATCTCCAATGTTTTCAGCCTTTACAAAAACAGATGGAAGCTTCTTGGCAGCTAACTCTAATGAATGTAAACATTAAAAAAAACTCCTCACCTTGGCAGTAAGTCATAATTCTTTGGAAACTTGGTTCTTTGCTTGCTGCTTATACACTGCAATTTGTCAATAATCTGAACATATTCCACCTCTGATACAGGGACTTTCTTTAAGTCATATTTCCTGTATGGCTCTCCTTTCAATTGGCCTTTGATGGAGAGGGCCATAGTTAACTCACTGGACAAGTATGTAAGTCTAAAGTGTATGTGGCAATCTCAGCAGACAGAAACCAAGAGCTCCTCAGAGGTGTGATCCATCTATGTAGTATGCAAGGCATCACTCCCATGGTCCAAGACTAATATCCGGTTCATCCTGATTTGTTCCCTCATCTGTGCTCTACACCTCACAGGCATGAATTGCGCAGGCATAATTATGTTGCACCAAGGTGAGGAGGTTAGTTAAACAGAAATTAAAAGGCACAGTGATTAGATCCAAATCCCTGAAAGTTGCATGGAAACTTTTTCAAGACACCATAATAGAGGCCCAACTTAAATGTATACCCCAAATTTAAAAACATAGCAAGAGACCTAAAAAAGAGTCACCGTGGCTTAACCACCTTGTAAAAGAAGCAGTGAGGGACAAAAAGGTATCTTTTAAGAAGTGGAAGTCCAATCCTAGTGAGATAAATAGAAAGGAACATAAAAACTGTCAAATCAAGTGTAAAAGTGTAATAAGAAAAGCAAAAAAAAATATTGAGGAGCAGCTAGCCAAAAACTCAAAAAGAAATAACAAAATGTTTTTTAAGTACATTAGAAGCAGAAAGCCTGCTAAAAAACCTGTGGGTCCCCTAGATGATTGAGCTATAAAAGGAGCAATCAAGGATGATAAAAGCCATTGCGGAGAAACTAAATGATTTCTTTGCTTCAGTCTTCATGGCTGAGGATGTTGGGGAGATTCCCAAATCTGCACCGTCCTTTGTGGGTGATGAATCTGAGGAACTGTCCCGGATTGAAGAGTCATTGGAGGAGGTTGTGGAACAAATAGAAAAACTTAATGTTAACAAATCTCTGGAACCAGATGGCATTCATCCAAGGGTTCTAAAAGAACTCAAATGGGAAACTGCTGAGCTATTATCTGTGGTTTGTAACCTATCCTTTAAATCGGCTTCCGTACTTAGTGACTGGAAGGTAGCCAACGTGACACCAATATTTAAAAAGGGCTCTAGAGGCGTTCCTGGCAATTACAGACCAGTAAGTCTAACTTCAGTACCAGGCAAATTAGTCGAAATAATAGTAAAGAATAAAATTGTGAGGCATGTAGAAGAACATAATTTGTTGGACAAAAGTCAACATGGTTTCTGTAAAGGGAAATCCTGTCTTACTATTTGTTAACCCCTTCAGAGAACTCTAATAGATCTTGTGTAAATTACATGGCCATGGGATAAGAGGGAAGGTCCTTTCTTGGATTGAGAACTGGTTAAAAGACAGGAAACAAAGGGTAGGAATAAATGGTAAATTTTCAGATTGGAGAGGGGTAACTAGTGGTGTCCCCCAAGGGTCAGTCCTGGGACCAATCCTTTTCAACTTATTCATAAATGATCTGGAGAAAGGGGTAAGCAGTGAGGTAGTAAAGTTTGCAGATGATCCCAAACTGTTTAGGATAGTCAAGACAGAAGCAGACTGTGAGGGACTTCAAGAAGATCTCACCAAGCTAAGTGACTGGGCAACAAAATGGCAAATGAATTTTAATGTGGATAAGTGTAAAGTAATGCACATCGGGAAAAATAACCCCAACTATACGTACAGTATTATGGGGGCTAATTTGGCTACAACAAATCAGGAAAGAGATCTTGGAGTTATCGTAGACAGTTCTCTGAAAACTTCCACATAGTGTGCAGTGGCGGTCAAAAAGTCAAATAGGATGCTAGGAATTATTAAGAAAGGGATAGAAAATAAGACCCAGAATATCTTACTGCCCCTGTATAAAACTATGGTACGCCCACATCTTGAATACTGTGTACAGATGTGGTCTCCTCACCTCAAAAAAGATATTTTGACCTTGGAAAGGGTTCAGAAAAGGGCAACTAAAATGATTAGGGGTCTGGAACGGGTCCCATATGAGAAAAGGTTAAAGCGACTGGGACTTTTCAGTTTAGAAAAGAGGAGACTGAGGGGGGATATGATAGAGATATATAAAATCATGAGTGGTGTGGAGAGGGCCAATAAAGAAAAGTTATTTATTAGTTCCCTAAATAGAAGAACTAGAGGACACCAAATGAAATTAATGGGTAGCAGGTTTAAAACTAATAAAAGAAAGTTCTTCTTCACACATCATGTAGTCAGCCTCTGGAACTCCTTGCCAGAGGAGGCTGTGAAGGCTAGGACTATAATAGAGTTTAAAGAGAAGCTAGATAATTTCATGGAGGTTAGGTCCATAAAAGGCTATTAGCCTGGGGATAAAATGGTGTCCTTGGCCTCTGTTTGTCAGAGGCTGGAGAGGGATGGCAGGAAACAAATCGCTTGATCACGGTCTTCGGTCCATCCTCTCTGGGGCACCTGGTGCTGGCCACTGTTGGCAGACAGGATACTGGGCTACATGGACCTTTGGTCTGATCCAGTACAGCCGTTCTTATGTTCTTATCACCTTAACATGATGGTGTCACACAGGACACATTTCTTTGTGATGTGACTAAACATGTAAACAGATTATTAGAAAAATTAATTTCAACTGTATTTTCAATAGTTTGACCAAAAATGTCTATAAGTTTTAGCCATGTGCCAAATTAAAAACCATTTTCCCTGGGATATCCATCAGAGAGACTGATCTGCCAGGAAGGGAAGAGTTTGATACCCAACTCCTACTGAAATTTGAGAGGAGACAAATAACTAAGTATGTCTTTGAAAATCATAATATGTTACAGTGCTTGGTCGCAAATAGATTTTACTATTGATGGAGATGGATCATATGGATCTTTTGACATAAGCAGTGCAGGAAATGTCACTGGCTCCTCCCCTCAACTCAGCACTTACTGTGGCGAAGTGTGTTGATTGGGAGACTGAAGGTTCTGTTCAATCCGCTGGTAATTGTGGATTTGCGTTGGGACTGGGATGGGGACAGAGTGCTTGTACTTGCTGCTGGACAACTGGCCTTGCTGGCTGTGGAATTGAAAAAAAAAAAAATAAAGACTCTTGTGAGGAGAGAGTGTTTAATGAGTCACTGGCTGCAGGAAAGCATCCATCTTGCTCCTCTTCTCAGGTTGTGAGTTTACATGCTCTTATATCAAAGCCATCTCTTTAAAGGAAGGGCCTCTTCATACTTCCCCAAACCACTCATCTCTTTTTCCTCATTCAGACTGCCTTCCCACAGACTGTATTAGTCACATGATTCACCACACCCACTAGCTGCCTCAGATCCTCAGCTATGAAGCACATCCTTGAATAAAGGCCTTGATCACAAAGGATGTTGGCAAAGCATCATTTGTTGCCCAAAGCTACATCTGATTCATACAATGTCATTGCCAAAGAAATGGCATCTCCATGAGTCTCAGCATTCCAAGGCAAACACATAGTCCTTAGAAAATGAGCACATCTGCAAGTAAACTAAGTGTAGGGAGGCACCTCCTGGAGAAGAAATTGTAAGTGGCCTCTTCACTATACATGCATGCAGAATTCCAACTGGGATCAAGAGGAGATGAGTGTCTTAGGCCATGTCTCTACTTACCAGATGATCACACTCTGGTGATCAATCTTCTGGGGTTCGATTTAGTGGGAGTAGTAAAGACCTGCTAAACTGAATGCTGAGGGTGCCCCTGTCAGTCCAGATGTTGCCAGGAGTTAAAGGAAGTAGATGGGAGTGTTTCTCCCATCGACTCTCCCGTTATGGGGCCACCGCAGAAAATTGATGCAAGATATGTTGACTGCAGCTATGCAATTCACATAGCTGGAGTTGCGTATCTTGTTTTGATTTTTTTTTTTTGACAGCATAGACCTGGCTTTAGATTCATTCTGCAAATCACAGACTGCTGTCTACTTAAGTCCAAACAAGCTACATGGATCAGGCTCCAAAACTTATCCCTTTCAGGTGGCAGTTTTCTCCATTATTCCTTGCTTGCCTGCTACACTGTACAAAACTATGAAACCACACCACTGTGTGATTAAACTAAGTAGCTTCCTAAAATCCTTTCCCAAAGTCTTCAGGGAATTCCAGGATTAATTGCCATGGAAGTGTCACTTACTGCAGCAAACACTGAATATGTAGCTATTGCATGGCTATAGGAAGATTTTATAAGTGATGGAGGTTTCTGTAGTCTTCTCTCTTCTTCAGTCTGGCACATAAAAACATTGCCTATAGGGAATCTGGATCTATCTCTTAAAGGGAGGTGACCCACACTGTGTCCTGGACATAATCCACAGCAAAAGTGCTTAATACCAGCAAAGAAGAAAGATGAAACAAAACAAACTGAGAATTAAAAAAAGAAACTAGAGCTGTTGTTTTATATAGCCACCAAAAAATGTAAAGGCAAAAGGTGCTTTGCACAAAAGCCAACTATATCATGTAGTTGGCAGTGAAAATGTTTGGCAATGCCTATATGCTATTGCTTATTGGCAGATTTCCAGGACATGGTCCATAGCCCAGGAGGAAGTCACTCACCGCTTGAGCAGCACCAGGGGGCTGAAAAAGATGCTCTTGCAAAACTGGAAGATGTAGAAGTGACCTACTTACCATGAACAACCCACTTCAAGCTCATGATACCATCTACACGTTTTGTTAGTCTTTAAGGTGCTACTAGACTTTTCGTTGTTTTTTAAGTTTTTCCTGTTACAGACTAATTTGACTATCCCTCTGAAATTGCTTCAGGGGGTAGATGAGTTAGTTTGTACAGGATAAACTTAAAAAAACAACAAATAGTCTGGTAGCACTTTAAAGGCTAACAAAACTGGTTAATTATTAACATCCCTATTCCATATGGCTGATATGCTGTAAACAGGAGGACACATGTACCTTACATACAGGGAACTGACCAAATGGCCAAGACAACTAATAGCTGGTAACTAAACCTGAACCTAGCATGTGTTGGACATTGGAAACAGCTTTCAATCCACAGGCATCCAGAAATTCCCAAAGCCCAACAGATCAAGAAGGAAAGAGATTTCAGTTAACTAGCTGTAGCTAAATATGTAGCTAAGGTGGCATTAAACTCATTACTTTGGGATACATCCAAAGAAGTACACAGACACAATTTTAGACTGCATCTTCAATAGGGAAGTGAGCGGGGAGAAAAAGACCCCAACCCTTGCATTTAATATGGGTTAATCATAGTCAGGTGACATTCTGGTTGACTTTCAGGAGCATAGTTCCCGAGAGCACAGTGACATCTAGAGACAAACACTCCACTACCAGCCAATCTCAAACAGCCTCTGTTATCTGACTCACTTGGGCAGTGTCCAAGGCTGCAGGGAGGGGCAGCGGAGGAAGGTGAAATGCTAATTGCAAGACTAGAGGCACAAACAAAGGGAAAGATATCACCTGCTAACAAGTGGTGCCAAAAGGAGAGGGAAAAGCCAGCCAATGGATCATCATGCATCAGCAGAGCCTATGTTTGAGTAGGGTGAAAAGACACCCTGGTAGGACTAGCTCAGAAGCATCTTCAGAGGGTGCTTGGCCTCCTCCACTTTGTTGGGCTGGGTTGGAGGCTCTCTTCCTATATTACACTGATCTCTTCCCCTTCCTGGAAGGGTAGATTTCTCCATAGAAGCACACAGGGACTGAGACCTGTTCCAAAGAAGCAATTGGCAGGGTCGCCGAAGGGAGAGGGAGAAGAGAGTAACTGCCCCTAGGGCCTGGTGAGTCAAAGAGGCCTAAAGCTTCGGCCACTGCTGCTGCCACAGTAGCAGCAGCCAGAGTCCCGGGCCCTTTAAATTGCTGCTGGAGTGCCATGCCACACACTCCAAGCAGCATTAAGGTCTGTGGGAAGGTGTTGCACAATGCTCTGAGCAGCTCTGGCCCTTCCAGGAGAGTGAAGCAACTCCCCCAAGTTGCCCAGAGGCCCATGGAGTCTATTGACTCTGCTGGCTTTAGGAATGAGTGTGTGGGATAGTGAAATGGCAGAGCAGTCATTTTACACTTTCGATGTCAATGGGACTCCGGCATCCTGATTTGGTGGAAAGAGAGCACAGCAAAAAGCAAGCCAGCATTTACAGTGACTGTCTGTGCATTATTGCCCACTGTTCTTTAGAATGAAGCCAAGTCCTTTAATGAAGACTGATCCCATGGCTGCACATGAATCAGTTAAATAATGAACTGCTAAAAAGCTTAGCAGGTGACTGCATGAGAAATCTCATGAAGTTAAACACAGCTGTGCTACATGCCTGCCAATTAGTTCCATCATCTTAGCAAGGCTCTGAGGTGTATTTCTCCCCCAGTTTCATAGGAGTTTAAGCAATGGCACATAATTGTGGGCTCTCTCTGGGAGAGGAGTATTTTCACACATGCAAGGGTGGGACTTCTCTAACATTTTGTGTTATTTTCCCACCCATAAAAAGTGCCGGGTTGACACAAAAGTCCTGCTCTTACTCAGAGCAGAGGCAGTATGATGGTCCTTATGGAAATGGGCCACCTTGAAGTCAAATCAGTCTTCTTGTGCAGTCAATGGATTGGAACCTATTGTGGCAGGGGGATGCAGAAGTCTGGTGGAGGACGGATACACAGAGGCTGTGTCTACACTGGCGCGATCTTGCACAAAAGTGGTCGCTCTTGCGCAAAAACTTGCTGCCTGTCTACACTGGCCACGTGTTCTTGCGCAAGTAAACTGACGTTCTAATGTATGAAATCAGTGCTTCTTGCGCCAGAACTTTGACGCTCCCACTCAGGAATAAGCCCTTTTGTACAACTGTTCTTGCGCAAGAGGCCAGTGTAGACAGGCAAGATGAATTTCTTGTGCAAGAAAGCCCTATGGTTAAAATGGCCATCGGAGCTTTCTTGTGCAAGAGAGCATCTACACTGGCATGGATGCTCTTGCGCAAAAGCACATCTCTTGCACAAAAGCACATGCCAGTGCAGATGCTCTCTTCTGGAAGAGTTTTTGCACAAGAACTCTTCCGCAAAAGAGTTCTTGCGCAAGAAGCTACCAGTGTAGACGTAGCCAGAGAGATGGTTGTGTGGTTTTGTGTTCCCTGAATAGGTTGCCAGAGACTGCTGCTCAGCCATTAGGCCAGATGGGCACCTGAAGTCCATTTGGAGTCAGCCTGTAGTGAAACCTAATTAGAATACCTGCTGCCAATTAAGGCCTATGGGCACACAATAAAAACCTTCCCTAAGGCAAGACAGGGGGAAAGAGAAAAGGGATGGACCAGAGGCGAGGTGAGGCAGAGCAAAAGCAAGCATTGTAGGCCACAAGCTAAAAGGGCCTGTTTCAAGAAGCAAGGGAGGATGTACCCAGGGAGCGGTTGGGGAAGTGGCCCAGGGAGGGCTGTCATTCAGTGGGGGCAAGGACCAGGTCTCACAGCCACACTCATGGCTATTACATAAGGTCCTGGGCTGGAACCCAGAGCAAGGGGTTGGGACTGGGTTCTTCCAACACACTCCCATCTGGTGGGCTGCCAGCCAGGAAAGAACCCTTGGACTATTAGCGGGGCTGACCTCCAAATCCCTGACTGGCCGATAATAAAAGGGCTCTTGGAGTGAGGTACCTTTGCCTCCTTGGCAGTGGAAGGGACACAGTGAGCCTCTGAGGCACACAAAAGCACTGCACCAAGAAGCACAGGACCCAGGGGCATAGCCCAAACCCATCATACTATGTCCAAAGGGGGAAGATCTGACAACACTGCTGTTCCCTACTCCTCCAAATCCCTGACTGGCCGATAATAAAAGGGCTCTTGGAGTGAGGTACCTTTGCCTCCTTGGCAGTGGAAGGGACACAGTGAGCCTCTGAGGCACACAAAAGCACTGCACCAAGAAGCACAGGACCCAGGGGCATAGCCCAAACCCATCATACTATGTCCAAAGGGGGAAGATCTGACAACACTGCTGTTCCCTACTGCCAAGCCAGTTATACAAACACCTCCCACAGTTCATCACTACAAACTGAACAGCTTTATCTCGCAGCAAGACTGACCCTTCCTGGATGGGAGATGTGCCTTATGCGGACCCAAAATATCTGAGCCAGTCCAGCTTCCTTCTTTGACTGCAGGACCCAACAGGGAAGCAACCTGCAGGAAAGGGCAGGGAAGTGGTGCTGCCCTTTCCCTCTATTTAAATACAATCGCCTTTTCTTCCTGCTCCTCAAAGATAAATAAAAATCACTCCCTTGCCAAATGCAAGCCAGCTACACACAAGCTCTAAGTGACTGAGGAGCCCTTTTCAAGCCCTTTTCACAAGCTCTAAGTGACTGAGGAGCCTTTTTCAAAATA